CTATACCCAGTATGTCGTCGGTGATTCAAATCTCGAACTTGGGTAATTAAACGTTTATCTGGAAGTACCAAAAATAACAAGGAATTAAACTATGAAGCTAGCTCACCAGGGCTCCTTTTATGCAGGCAAGCAGGCGGAGCATGCTGGTATGTGCAAGAGATATAAACATGATAAGCAAATGTTGTGCGAGAAACAAGCAAATGTCGTGCGAGAAACCTTTACCCTTGCTCAGACCAGCCTACTGATAACGATATTGAAGCTTACAAGACTATTAGTACAGTAGAATGAGTAAAGTATAATGTTCATAAAGGTTACAATAATGATAATGTAACAATGGTAAATAGAGCGAGAGTCTCTATACTCCCGGGGACACGATAACTGCCAGCTTCTGAATCCACTGCCCAGCCCTCTCTCTTGCCTCCTTTCTCAGGTACGGTTCGACGATGATGAGGAGCTGGCGTCCATCACGAATATCGTCTGATCGTGTGCCTTCTCTCGCCCTCTCCTTTGCTCCGAGTCGCGCTTCTTCCACGTCTCCTTCTGTGTTCATCGTCCTGAGTGTGGTTCCCTGTCCGACGGCAGCGATCCTCGCGACCACGATTGACTCCTGCCACTTCACTATGTCTGCGGACAGGGAGCTGTCGTCACCGCAGGGGCGAGCTGGTCTACTTTGCTCGCGGCAAGGTGCAGAGTTCGGGATCCTTGCAATAAGAGTTCCTTCAGAATGGTCCCAGAAGCTCGTCCTTTCTTAGGTGGAATATCGCCGGCGTCTTCTGTCGACGAAGATGACGATGACGAAGATGAAGACGAATTTCGTTGACGTTTTGGGGCGGAGGTCGTCGAGCCAATGTTCTTCCTGGTACGTCAACGGTCTGCTGTTGAGTGTTCCTTCTACTTCTATCAGAAGAGTCTCAAGTGTCTCCACGTGAACGACTTCTCTTTTGATGACTTTGTATAGGGAGTGCTTCACAGACTTGAATCAATCGCTCGTAAAAAGCTCCCTGCCACGGAGCATATGGGGTGATTGTAATGTAATGTACCAACGGTAAATAGAGCGAGAGTCTCTATACCCAGCTCTAGGGTAGCTCGGGCAAGTAAAGTGCCACGGAGCATATGGGGTGATTGTAATGTAATGTAACAACGGTAAATAGAGCGAGAGTCTCTATACCCAGCTCTAGGGTAGCTCGGGCAAGTAAAGCCCTGATCTCTTCAGGAAAGCTTAAAAAGCGTTCTACAGCCATCAACATTCCTACTGTACAGATATTAGACTGCCTTTACTGTCATGCCCTGGTCACCTCAGTGACAATAATGGCGATCTGACTAAACACTCTCAACTACTACATAATACATCAACCACGGAATATAAGGCGCTAAATACGCGAGAGTAAAGGAAAACGACAAAAAATCAAAATAGGTATTTTATGCAAAAACCCAGAGCAATTGGGCATTCATAGGATAAGCTATCGAGGCCAGTAGAGATTGCTGCCATCTGGGACTTCTCGTCACAGACGTAGCAACCTCGAACTTGGGTAATTGAACTTTATTCTTCGATAACAGTCACAAATAATGAGGAGAAATGTATTACGGTAGTGAAGCTGAAAGTGAACGTGAATAAACAGTACAAGCGATAAGCTCGGCCCTATCTATGCACCAGCAGGGTACAGCATCGTTGTGCGAAACCCATGGGGGGGGGTCGTACTTGGCCGATGGAGAGGGGGGGGGGTCGTAACCGTAGGGTCAGTGAGCACCGGACAACGCTATGACATTTGTGTTGATAAGATGAGTGGAGCTATGAAAGCCGTACAGCTTAAAAAAAACGTGAAAATTTTATGAGCAGTTTTTTTCAGGTTTATCCGTTCATCAGCCTTCCTTCCATAAGAAAGTCGATGGTTCACGAAGCTTATTTCAAAGCCTTCATTCGGAGCTCGATAGAAGACTTTCCTTTCAGTGAATTTAGACGGCAAGATAGATCACATGTGATTAATGGCATTTGTGTTGCTGTTGTATCACTATTAAATGATAAAAAAATTTATTAGACATCCTTGTCGTGGAGAACTCCTGAAGAAAAAATCATCGCTTGGAAGTTTCGAGCTCCCGTCTCACTTTCATTATCTTTTGGGCGTCATGTCTATCGTTTAATCGATTCTTGGTCATGTAATGAGTGACGTAGAGATCCAGAAGCGCATCTGTGTCTCCTGCAATTGCATGTGCTACTCACCACTGAGAAGGGAACATGTGGAGGAATGGTACCTTTCAGCATGGCATCTTTCACGTCCTTCATGAAACTATCCGATCTAACGAAAGTGGAGGGCATGCGGGGACGAAGGTCCAGGCCAGGAAGAGGAGTCATCCACTGTCGGACTAAGTTCTTCGGCTTGACAGTGAGCAGGCTGGGTCCGTCTCTGTGTACCCTGGAACAGTTGTTGTCGAGAGATGATAACCCTCCAGAAAATGAAGCAGTACCGCGGAGATGAATGAAAAGTCTACCTCATTAGAGCATCGCCATCGAGGTGGGAAACCTCCGCAGTTGTTTCGATCGTTTTGTGTGAGTCTATTGACCGTGGAGAAACTGCGTTCGGGGTCCGCGTTGCTTGTAGGAATGACAAGCAAGCACTTCAGGGCCTTAAAACGGAACGGTTGAAAATAGCAACGATAAAATAAGAATACCATGCAACTTTTCCACCACTGCACGCACAGCCAATGAGGGCTCTGTCAGGTACGTGGCCTGTTGAGGGCAGCTCTTGATAACGAGCCCTCGTCATGGCGTGTCCTTGTCGTGGCGAAGATTTCTCGACCAATCATTCAACACACGTACTTCTTCAGCAATAGAATCATAGAACTCTGTGAAGTGCCTTTTTCGGTCAGGGAGCAGAGTATTGTGTGTATTCCTCAACAACAACGATTGCCCCAATATCGCTGATGGCGACAGGCTCTTTAATCCACATTTCCCTACTTTGTCTATGTAGTGGGCAAGGATAGCCGCGGTTTTCTCGGCTAGTATTTGGCAACACACAATCCTTAAAATTCTCGTAGTCACCATTGCATTCTATTATGTCAAGAAGAATGTGCCTGTCCAGCGCATATGGGAAATAGGAGGGTGCTTCTGTAATGCGGCGGCGGAAGTCCATATAGTGGCCGAGCTTCGCATGGATTTCCGTGTAGAAGTTATCGATAAGACTTTTCTGTTTGACATGTAGCCATAATCTGGTATCGGTACACCTTAGCTAGGGAGTATACGTCATCGATTGTAGCATCCTCCATGAGGGGTGCAGCACCAGAAAGGGGGTGGATCCCGAGCTGGCATTTGAAGCTGCAGATAGTGCACTATGTTGAAAGTTCATGCTACTGATCAGCTAACTTAGAAGAGCTTACAGAAATGACTCATCATTAAAACAATGAAGAAGGAGGATAGAGAAAGAGTTTAGCTTAAATGAATTACATGTAAGAAAAGTATAAAAAAGATAAGTTTTTTTCTATATCGAACCTAAACCTACGTGCCAGCTCTTTGCGCCATTAGGAGCTAGAGAGACGCTCGGACTCGTGGTCAGGTGTGCTCATGAGGACCTACGTCATTGCCACCTGCGCTGTGCCAGAGGAGTACGAGTTGTCCGCTCCAAATCGTTGCGGAATCCATCTCCGACAACCCTCGAATACAGGAACGTCTGGGAAGGTGTGCATGACAGTGCTGCCCCGGGATGGCAACGCTGGCAACACGAAGGGAATAGGTGTAAGGTCTAGGCAAGGACGAGCCTCGGACGCTTAGGTGGGAGATGTGATGATAGGTGGACGACACAGGGCGGACTCCAGTTTATCCGAACCAAGTTGAGTGCTATGTCCACTCCGATGTCCTGGCACGCGTGAAGATATATAGTAGTATGGATATAATCAAGTTGTGATATCAGAATAAGACGATCACGGCACGGACCACTTTATTCCTCAAACTTGGGTAATCAAACATTCCAAAAGCAATAGACTGAGAGAATTCAGGAAAAAGACTACTTCAAAAGTATAAAGGCAGCTGTACTGCCAAAAGGTGACCTGTTGCCTTCGAGCTTCTCTCAAGGCGGAGACTGTATGTTTATAAAAAAAGGGAGGGAGAGAGCGTAGCCTCACGACAGGCCCGAGCGCGACCGCTAAAATATGTAAAATATGATGTTGTGTCGTCATAAGTTCCATGGTGGGACTTAGATCAGCGACCTGGGATACTTACCGAGTGCACATATACTTGATGGTATTGTTCTCTCAGTTGTTTGATGGCTGCATATGTAGCGTTTTGACATGGTGCAGCTAAGGGGTTCTGTTCAGGATTACTTCCATATCTTTTCAAGCGATTGACATAAGCTTCTATCATTGTTTCAACTATTGGTTCTTGAGCCGGATAACGAGGAAAGCCTGCATACTTAGACAGTGAGCTTTCACCATTAACCTTAATAAGAAGATCGCGAGCGACGAAAGCGAGATTCTTGTATAAGGTCCCCTTGGCTGGGCCAAGATCCTTCTTGTAACCATAGTATTGGTTGTCTCCGACAGCTTCTACAGCATGTTTGAGTGCTGTGAGCTCGCTGCCATATGGAGCAAGAGTAAACAGTTGGTCCCATGGAAATGTGGGATGATCAGTTAGACCTCGCACTGCGACAGTTAATGTGGTCAGCCCTGCATTGACCGTTTGCTCCAGTGTTATACGTAGTCTAAGAGCATTGACAGGTAGTTCAGATAACCACATTGCGAATAGAGTTCTGCCTACAATATCATCCATTACATCTCCATAGCAAGCCCACACATTTCGGACGTCATCGGCACTCATGGTGATAGATGCACCAGTATCTTGACGCAAACCGTTAACTACCTTTTGGCAGAAATCGTCTGATACCGTGCCTCGCTTGGCCATTGCGACGAAAGCATGTGTCAGAATGGTGACGGGTGATGGTGGTGCTTGTATAGTTCTGGTCTGTGCCATGTATCTCATGATTTTTTGCGCTGTTGCCATCGTCAACGGATCCTCACGCCACTCCTGGGCGGTACCCCCCCCATGTCGTAAAACCCGTCTCAGTAGCTCCGCAAATGTACATAGCATTGGTCGCTGTACGCAGCACGTCCACCGCGCGAAGGTATTCGACTTGCGCCTGAGGTTCGGGAAGATCAACTCCGGTTGGTTTAACTGGTGTGATAATCTCTCCAGTGTATAATACTTTTGCATCTTTCAGAACAACAGGTCCTGGGGGAACATTTCCGGCAGCCGCCAACGCCCTGCCGAAGCAGATCAGATAACCATGAGTAAGCACTGGGTCTCTTTCAAAGAGATCAGTGAATGGAGGAACATTGACTGTTTTGAAGATGAGTCTGCCAAATATGGATTGGGTACCAAGCCAAGCATGTATGTTATCAGCGTTGTCAAGCACTCCTTTTCGAAACAACAACGAACCGTTTCCGTCCGACACGCCAAGGCGATCAAAAGGTAGTTCAGGCACAACACGTAATGGAGCCTGATTTGGCTGGCGTTGTGCAGGTGGTAAAACTTGATTGATTTGCTGAAGTGGAGGCGGTTGAGGAGGCGGGTGCTGTTGAACCTGCTGATGCTGTTGAGGAGGTTGCTGCGCAGCATTGCGCTGCTGTTGTTGCCGCTGATGTTCACGTTGTCGTCGCTGTTCTTCCTGCTGGGCCTGTGCAACTGCTTGAGCGTTTGCTTCCGCGCCAGCGACATTACCTTCTTGATGATGATCGGCCATTGACGCTGATAATGCTAGTGCACCGATGATCGAGAGTCACACAGCAAAATTGAAAAACAGGATATCGTTTTAATACAACACCGATTGAATTTGTTGTGTCGTCCGCTAAAATATGTAAAATATGAATATGCTTGCAAAGAACGTGAGGCATGCATTGAACTAAATAAAAGAGAGTAATACTATACGAAGCAACAAATACAAAATTAATCAGATCGATATAGTCGCAGTACTCCCCTCCCCGGTCAGCTGCTGTAGATGCTGCGATGTTTCACCGATATACTCATCTCCATAACTAGAACAGGTGATCTTGTAGAACACTTCTGATAGGAAGATCTTCGTTACATTCTCGGTCTTAGTTACATTCTGGCCGTCACTCTTACGGACTTCACCACAGCCGACTATGCAGTAGGTCCCCTAGGCTTCGCCCCTATAGCGACGCAGTAGACCTGCACGACTTCATCGCCCTCTTACGCAATATGTTGCCGGCGGTGCCCCTCCTCCATCAACCGTCGATGTCCTGATCGGGGCTGGAGTAGAGGCTATCCTTGGTCGGGGAGCAGGAGATTGACATCAGCCGCTCATGACTGACGCTCGGGCCGCCTCCAGCTTAGGAATGGGCTTATCAGATTGGAGGTTAGCTAGGCCTTAATCCGATGGGTGTAGCGGTGTTCTCTGTATGAACATTGAACTGGGTTATATGAATATTTATTATAGAATGATACGAAAAGGGGAAGGGGGAGGAGAGGAGGAGGCCAGCGGAGCCCCGGCCGAGACTTGAGACGATCAGTTCCTAGTGTGAGTTGAGAGACGAATCCACTCCATTCCATCGGCTGCCGGCTGACAGCAGATTAAATACACTCCGCCGCCGGTTGTGGCGACGCGGATACTCACTTGCGGTGGTCCCTATAGGGAGTGCGCGTCGTGTTGGGTCCTGGTGTCAAGGAGGGATCTCGCCTGGTAACAATCTGTGCCACGCGGCAACGCCTGCGGTCCTCATCCCCTTGGTCTCAATGCCTCCTGCGCCCACTTGTGGGTCAATGTGGGGTAAGCTTCTGCGCTCCTGTTCAGTCCTACAACTTAGAGTGCGATCAGGCGTTTCCCTTCACATGAATCAACTGCAAGCAAGCCTAATGGGGCCAATAATTTAAAAACGATAAAGAACTGTCAACGAAGTGCGTAAGTTGGCGGTATACACCACCCGTGTCAGGCCTCCCGAAGTCAGCGTTTCCATGATTGCAGCAGTTGCCTCGCCAGTCTTTTCACTTTGACACAGTACCATGAGTCCTAGGGGCAACACCGCCTTGCCCCACCACGGCACGAGCTCACACGAAGCCAGACATAGCCCCAACGCTATACAAGCCAGGGCCGTGTCCCCAGCAGCGGGAGCTCCGGGTATGGCCTCCTGCAGATTCGCGCTGGCCGAGGCCTGTAGTGCTCCGCTCAGTCCGTCCTCCTTCTTGTACCTCTGCGCCACAAGTATCCACAAAGCGGCCCCACCCACGCATCCGGCCCCAACGGCTATCATCACCTCCACTCCAGAGGCGGCAGCCGTTACCAGCCAAGCTAGTGTTGCCCACACGTGGGTGCATCGCAGCACTTCTCCAGGTGTCACACTCACTTCCGGCATCGTTTTTTCTTTCGCTAGTACAGCACTCATCACTTCGCCCACTCCACTGACCTTTCCGCTCCTGCTATTCATGTGCTCCAGCGCTAATGCAATGCACACGCCCACAGCTATCGCGTAGTACAGCACTCATCACTCCGCCCACTCCATTGACATTCGAGACGCGCAATCGTGGGTTTGCAGTCATGACAAGTGGGGTGCCGGTTGCCAGGAATGGATAAAAGAAGAACTGGCAACTATCGAGCGCGAATGGGCTGCCAGTGCCCCAAAGGGGCCACATCTTTCATTCACTGAAGTGCGTAAGGCTACACATCAGTTGCAAAGGAATAATACACCAATCATAGGTAAAAACGTGCTTAAACACGTGCAACGAAGAAAAAGAAAGAAAAATCACGAAGGGTTATTTATCATTAATTCTACATCGAAAAACACCTAGCAAAGCTAAAAACCTACGTGCCGGCTGCCTGCGTTATAACGGGGCCATGGAGGCTCTCCAGCTGCCTGCGATCCCATTCCTTGCGGGTCCATTTGCGGCGATCCTCGGATGTAGGACGAGTAGGAAAGTGCGCATGATGGAGTTGCCCCCGGGTGGCAACTGCGCAAGATGTGGGACGATGGGCCAGGCTTGGGCAAGGACGAGCCTCGAGCTCGTGGGTGATGGACACGGGCGATACACGGTCGACGGCGATCCAGCAGAGTCGTGCGAACTGAGCAAAGGGCAGATCGTGGCCCAAAAATGGGGAGTTGCGTCGAATGGTCAGCGAAGACACACTTGCGCGGTGAGACCCCAGTGCGGACTGCGAAGACGGTCCTTTAAACATTGCAGTTGTTGACAGTTGCGCGTGCGGTACTGCGCAATGGACGTAAAGGCGGACCGATGCGAAGAAGTCGTGCAGAAGTCACGACAGCGGTTGCGAAGCGCTGAACAGCAGTGGCATGTGACGATTGGATCCTCTTGCCTTCGCAGCGAGGATACGTCAGGATTCACCACTCCGCCTTTAGCGCTGTCACAGCGTTATCAGGTGGAAACCGACCGGCCGCTGGTTGCCACCCGTCAGACATGCTACTGACCACGATCGCAGTGGCAGAGTTACGGCGTGATTGCACTCAGTGGGAACCGAGCAGCGCATGGACCAGGGCGCAAGGTGAGCCCGACTGCGCCCGTCGCATTCGCGACACCACGAATACGCCCAATCACGCCCAACGGAAGATCGCCGTATTCACACAGAGTTGGCAGTAGCCGTCCAGGAATTCGTCGAAATCGGCTTCGGTATTTGAAGTAAAGATGAATCGAATGAGAATATTATAGCTCAGTTCGAATGTCAGCAGCAAATGTCGATGAATACGAGAATTCGACGGGTACACGAGCCAAATGCAATGTTTCCCATGGGCTAGAGTGCAGGCGGCAGAGTAACACTGGATGACTCAGCCTCGACTGTGTGAACCGACTGCGTGCTAACTTGAACTTTTCGGTAGGGCCCTTTTACAGAAGGCCACAGCACAGAGAAGTACTGCGGATGCCAAGGCAACGAAGGGCCAAAAAAGGTGTCGCGAATTAGGGAACCTTCTCCAAAGAGCGGGGATTCTGAAGTGGATCAGCGCGGTTTCACCGAAACACGCGTAAGCCGGTGAAGTGGTGTGTTAACCTTGCGAAAGTTTAAATGGAAGAAAGTCTTCTGTCCGTAGTCGGTTTGAACCAGTGATCGTTTGAACCAGATGATTCGAGCAAGCGACATCATCCGGCTTTGTTAATCTGTTAATTAGTTTGATAATGTTTACATAAGTACAGATAATCCCTTCCAGTTTTGAGCAGCTTGAATTCTGTTGAAAAGAGAACCATCTTCTGCACGGCCCTAATTAACTTTCGCCCATGTCTTGCAGCGCGCGCCCCACCAATGCACGTTGCGCATAGCTAGTACATGAGATTGTACGTGACTACGGCACAAACCATTTGACGCCTAATATCCTGATCGTTCAAGCGGCTGGACCCCCAGTGCAGGGAGGTTAATTGCGCTGATCAAGGAGTGGGCTGGTAAATATATATCACTTATATAACTTTACCTCTCACTTTTATTGCTCTCGTTTGTTTGTTCTTATTGTTCCTGATTTGTTTATTTAGCATTTCCCTTACAGGTCACGCTGCATTTTTTACGCTATTGGACGGTTCCTAATAAACACTGGTCGATTAATCACCTTGTAAGAGTGCCTTCCATGGCTTTGGCTCAGTCTAAATCCGATCCAGCAAATGCAGAAGAGTTCTATAAGAAGGTACGCTATTCTTCCTAAAGTTCATTCGAACTAGTCCAACAATCCTTCGTTTATGCACAATATACCTTTTTTGAAAGCTTACTCTTCTCGAATGGAAGTTTTCTTCACGAGTTGTACTAACCCTTTTTAACGACACTACTACAACTTCAATGGAACTTGCATGTCTTCGTGCCTGTATTATGACATATTTTCTGGAATATATAATGCACGCGTGCATATGGCACCTTCGCTCCGAGCGCCTTTCCTTCTTCACTTTATATTTGCGTGTTTTTCTGCTTGCTCTTATCCATATTAATGGTCTATATTTAGTAAGAGGTGTTCGGCAACCAAGAGGAAGGTTAAACGGGAGGCGGTAAAGACAATCGTAATTTCTCGCTCCGCCGCACGGCGCCCACCGCGGCGAATTATTACAATTGCCTTGTCACATTCATAATAAACTATACGCAGAAGACTGGAAAACTGCTGCTATGCCCAGCAACCTTATGCGCGCGCCGTCACGTGCGACTATGCGAAGTGCGCCTTACACTCCAAAAAAAGGTATTAAACTCAACAGTGACATAGCCATTTAATGGATTACATAAAAAAATTGGGTTGTGCTGAAGCTAGTGGTACTGGACTGGCGGAGAGGTGGTGGAGACTCTTCCTGGAGCATCTTTTTCTTCATCAGGGTGATATACCTTGAGTGTCAAGTTGCGCCGCTTACCAAGCGCATGGTCGCTGATATTCGATAGTGTAGTGAGGATTGCACTCCAAATAGGAATAATAAGAGCTAAATGAATATTCTCTTACACTTTTTGGTTCGAGAGGCTTCCTCGTTTTTGGCATGGGCATAATGTAGTATGTGCTTGTAGTAGTATGCATATTATTTGGCCGCGCAGTTCATTCGATGTGCATTTTGCGAGCTCTATAATGTAGCTGCCTTTAGAACCATTTTTATTACCATTCATGAGTGAATGACGCGTGAAGGAAGGGGAGCGGGTGGGAATACTCGGTTCGCATGCGACTAATCCCCACATACAGTTCTCTCCAGTCTATGGAGCTTTGCAAATCAGTTTCTGTCCTTCTGTTCTGGATCAAAGGCCTCGTCTACTTTGCGACTCTTGAGATTGAGCGATTTGAGAGATTTCGCGACGAGGGACGTGTAGGCATCGATCTTGCGGCGAAGAATGAGAAGCTCAGCGATTTGGGTTACTCGGCGTTTCCGGCAATCGCGCAAGTGGGGTGGATGGGTACCGATCGGCATCGGTCACTAGCGATTCTGGAGGTTCGGCGGTTCGGAAACGCCGAGTCTCTCCAGTGGCTGGATCGGTCATTCTCTGCAGCCAGTACATTGGTACCTATACTTTCCTCGTCGTAGTTCAAATCACCGAATCTCCCAATTCGCTAATATGAATAGCCTATCATCGCCACAAGCTCTAGTGACCTTCCGCCCCCTTTGCTAACCTTTCTCCTACACTCCATAACTACACGAGTAGCAAGCAATTTGTTCCTAGGACCTTCCATCTCAATGTAAGTATAGATAGATTGTAGACAAAAATGTTTGCAAGAAACACTTGTGTACGACACCAAAATCATAGTTTCATCGCTAAATTCATATCATATCAGAAAAGCACCGAGTTCTCAGACAACCTGTAACGTTAACTTTTGGCCCTTGACGGTTCTCAACAAGGAAATTAGCTCATCTCACAAACTTTGCCGTTCTCTTTCGTTTCCATACTGAGGAACATTTTCTGTAAATGTTCTGTGCTTCTCGTGCACACCAATTATCTTTCATTCAGGCGGAAGAGTTCTGGTCCAATGCAAGCAGAGATATTGATGGTATGCTCGGAGGTTTCGCTAAATTACACGCTCCAGACATAAGAGCCTCGAAAAATTTTATCAAGAAATTGAGAACTAAGGTATGTTGCGTTCATGTAGCTACTTTTTTAATGCTTCTTTCAAGATGGGAACCCTAGTTTTCGAGGGCTTCGGTTATTTCTTGATTGCATTTCTATTTGCTTAAGTTTGTTCTTAATGATCACAACGTGTAGCATATTTGAAAAATCCAATGGGGGATCGTGCTTAGTCGCTTAGCATGAGAGAACTTTTTTCACGGATGATTTGATTTCCATTTTGCGCGCTGTATATTCTCCCCTAGTTGCCGACACCTCAGAACTTCTATCTAAACTATGTAAACACCATTTGGATTGTGATGATCGAATATAGAGAACCTTCCTTTTGTTTCTCTCTCTCTCTCTCTCTCTCGCTCTCTCGCGCTCTGTTACGGAAGAGTGATAAGGTTTTGTAAGATTTTTAGAGTGGTGAGTAGGTATTGCAGGGGGTTGTACTGAAAGACGAAATCGGAGGGAGATAGTCGTACTGTCGCAATTCCAATCATACTGATTCTGTATCCTTGATGACCAGCTCCATCACCTTAATGTCATAGTCACAGCTATGACAACTTTAGTGGATTTTCGGTGAAGTAAAGCGGTTCAAAATTTGTTTCACTTTGTTTCATAAAAAGTACAGTTTTACTCATAGCATTCACTGGTACGTAAACAATAAATAACTTTACAGAAGTTGCTTGTTGATAACAACCGTGCGGCAGATTGTGGGGCTGGTATCGGACGTGTGACTCGACATTTGTTGCTGCCATTGTTCAAAAATGTGGTAATGGTAGAACCTGTAGCTGAACTTCTTGATAAAAGTGTTTCGTACGTAGGCGAGTTAGATAGTGTTGCAGTAATATACGTAAACAGTATAATTCCACGCTAACTCACCGTTTCAGGCCCCGGGAACGTTGAGAGAGTGCAGGTTGGCTTGCAAAACTTCTATCCCGATCCTTCAACCTTCGATCTGATATGGATCCAATGGTGTTCCGGTCATTTAACGGACAGTGACATGGTCGACTTCCTCAGACGTTGTGTAGTAAGTTACAAAGTTACACTTTAGTGAAAAGCAGGTCTCGGCGCTTGTCCGGAGGGGGGGGGGCATTTCGTAGACACAAATTTACTGGGCAACTTTGACGTATCCTGACAGGGCTCGTGGCACGCTGGGAAATCCCACCGTAGGGGTCGTATTCGGTCACTGAGGCAGCAGGAGATAGTTCTATAATTTTCGAGAAAATATTTTGTTGACTTTTCTCCACTTCTCAGGAATTTGGTAAGATATGGAAAGATGTACGTAAGGGTGTCGTACAAGAGCAGGAAATTTTGAAGAAGATCGTTTGTTGCAGCATCCTTCCAACTATAGTACGTGGTGTCAGTGAGATTCTCACACGCTGCGACGTGGTACGACTTTGTTTCTTGTGGTAAAGCTCTAAAGTTCAAGATTCTTGCCGCTCATCGAAGCCCTTTTGGGATGCGCCGGACATTATGCCTTCATTCAGAGCAGCATCTCTCACATACTATTGAAATACAATGACTTACAAAGACAGCTGATGTGCATTGCGGTGTTTTCGTCCTCCCAAACGAATTAGTAGCCAGCCGACCCAGGAGAGCGAAAAGTTGGTTGACTTGACCTGAGCGGGACCCCACCTAAGACTCGATCTCCAGACTGGTAAGTGACACTAAACCATGTGCCCTTCAAGTGCAGCCGTAGTATATGGAAATGAAGAGAATAATCCTAGAAAAGCGGGGCTAAATGCGAAGAAATCTGACCGCTGCAGGTAAACCCCTTTCTCACGAAATGAAAACCACCTTGCACAAAGAACTTGGTTTACTGTCGCACTCTCTCCTGAACCTGCTCGAAAACTCTCACTTCCATAGCACACGAGGACATTTATTCATCTTCAGTCCAGAATATCGTCTTTCGTTTAACAAATTGAAGAAATGGCAAGCAAATCGTAGCATTGCGAGTATTTACAAAATTGGGCAGTATGTCGGCAGGAGTGAACAGCAACTCCTCCCCTCCCCCAAAGTGGACATGCGCCAAGAACACCATTAGAAGCCCAACTTCTGTTGAACTGTAATCTTTCTTTTAAGGATGGGCTCACTGATGATGGCGTAATAGTGTTCAAGGATAACCTCTCTGCACAACAAGAATCCGAGTTCGATTGTGAAGACTACAGCTGGACAAGACCAGAAGCACTTGTTCTAGAGTTATTTAGTAGAGCAGGCCTTAGAGTTGTTGCTGAGAATTTACAGACAGGTTTCCCTAGTGGTATGTATAAAGTGAAAATGTTTGCACTCAAACCGGTAACTAGCAAGTATGCAAAGCCAGAGAACTAAGTTCTTTCAAGATCTCTCTTTCCTAATTTTTCTTCGATTTGTCATTTGTTGTCATATTTTGTTTGGAAAACGCTCATGTGTGTGATATGTTGTTACATTTATGTTCTTTCAATGAAAGTGAATCCCTTGTTGCGATTATTATTAGGGTACACAAGTGTA